AAGGCCACTCCTGCTGCCCTGGCCTGGTCAGGCCCGCAGGATGCCCAGGCCAGGCTGAGCCAGCCCCCAGACTCCAGCTGCGCCCCAGGGACTTGCCCAGGTCTGCCCTATGGGGCTCCCCTCCCTCGGCTATTTTGGTTTTGCTACAATAGGAAGTAGGGCTTGTGCTCACAATGGGGAGGCAGGGCTGAGCTTTTGTTCCTGATCAAGATGAGATGAGGGGATCCTGCGGCTTGTGTGGACAGGGCAGAGATGTGCAGAGATCCAGAAATCCTCCAGACCTCCCCCCAAATTGGTAAATACCAGTCTGGAGCAGGTGAGTGATAAACCCAGAGACGCCATGACTCACTTATACAAACTTCCCTCAGACCGGGCTCTAGAAGACTCCATCTGGCCCTGGCTGTTTGAGGACCCCTTTATCCTCTTTACAACCAGACAATATTACCCTGAAGCCCTGAGGTGCCTCCTCACTTCCCCAGAAAGGAAGTATAGGCAGGGTCTGGTCATCCAGCAGGGCCAGGAGAGCCCAGAGCCAACTTAGACCAAACTGGCTACCCAGCACCTGTCCCAAGGGTCATAACCAGGCCAGGATTAGACATCCAGGCACACTCACCAAGTCCTGCTGGGGGCCAGAGCCAGGGCCAGGGGCCGGCAGAGAAGCCTGGCCGATCCTGGGACGCTGCTTCCTGGGCAGCCAGGGGAGCAGGGCCCAGAGCCGCAGGCGGGGCGGCTTGGGATCCTGCTCCATCTGCCCAGCAGCGAGGCAACATGGCAGGGGTAGGCAGCGTCCAGGGCTGCCCACGGAGATGGCCGGGCCCAAGGCGGATGTGCAGGGTGAGGGTGCAGGGCTGGGCCTGGCCCAGGGCAGCAGCCAATCACTCACAGTCTGTGGTTTCCCAGCTCTAGGCCTCCGCCTTCACCACGTTCCCTTCTCTCTTCCCCTCTTCTCAGAGCCTAAAGGCTGCCCTCTGGCCTTCCCCCCATCCTCCCTGTGGGTCTGCAAAATGAAAGCTCCATGCCAACCCAGCTGACAAGTAGGTAGATATCCAACAGGCTGAGGCAAGTGCACAGACAGATAAAGAGAGACATCCAGCCAGCACAGTGGCACATGTCTGGTTATCCTAGTGCTCAGGAGGCTGAGGCAAGAGGATCACAATCCTAGGCCAGCCTGACTACACAGTGAGTTCAAGAGCACCCTGAACTAGACCTTATCTAAAATAAATAAATAAATAAAAAAGAAAAGAGAGATAGATTGAGAGAGAGAGAGAGTGGTTCAGCAGGCAGAGGCAGATACCTAACAGGTAGAGACTGATAAAGGCAGGCAAAGGCAGGAAGCCACATGTATCCACCAGGCGGACACATATAAGGATTGGCACCCAACAAGCAAAGACAGAAAGGAAAACACTCCCAGCAGGCAGGGATGGGTGGGGACACACATCTAACAGGCAGAGGCAGGAGGAGCCTATGCCTATCAGGAAGGGAAGTGAGGAGTCATATCTAACACACAGAGGCTGACAGACTTGGACCTGGGATACAAATCCAACAGCCAGAGACAGGTAAGGACCAACAAGCAAAAAGAAGGGCACAAAAAGCCAACAGGTGCTCAGCACGCATATGTACCCAACTGGGGAAGACAAGCAAAGGCAGACAGGAACCCAACCACAGGCACAGGTGGCAGCAGGGAGACAGCAGGGTCAGTGAAGCCCACGGAGACTGCCAGACACCACAGGGCAGGGACCCCTGGTAGGTTAAGGACAGAGCTACAGTTCTTACTAGTGTACCTGAGGGTGGGGACAAAGATGAGGGGACACACCCTGCAAGGTCCCAGCACTCAGCACGGCTATCTAGAGTTTGTGGCAGACTTATTTCCAAGGTATTCCATTTCCCTAAGGTTTTCTTCCCATGCTAAGGCCTGGCTGAGAGGACCAACTCCTGAGTGCAGTCTGGTGGCTTTGACTCCATTCAAATATCCCAAAAGCAGTTAACCCTTTGGGGAACAGAAAACTGACGCCTGGAGGACAGCAACTCCCAAGCTCAGAGCAAACCAGTGGCAGAGGCTGCTTGCATCCAAGTTCTTGCTCTGCTGCCTGCCTGACCTGGGGTGAGCAGCCTCAAGTGCAGGAAAGGGTAGACAGGTAAATCAGCCAGAACTGCTTCCTGCCCACCTAAGGCCACCCTCTCCCTGACTCTCAAGGTCAGGCCAAGGCTTCCCTTCCTTGTCTTGACCCTCAGAGACACAACGTTACTTTAAGGGATTCTCCCTGATGGACAACAGCCTCCCTCAAACACAAACAAACAAACAAACAAAACTAATCAGACCCCCAACTGTCAACTTTCTGGTGGGACAGGCAGAAAGCATGGCTCAGAGAAGGGCTGAGCTGGGTAAGGCCACATAGCAATCCCTGCCCACACCACCCCTGCATCTCCATGATGTCTGTTTGCCTCTAGCTAAAAACACTCCTTGGGGACAGATACAGCCACCCAGAAACCCCAGGGGACACAGCCACCACCCCCAACCTGTTCCTTCCTTAGTCATGCTAGCAGACACTGCTGCATGCAGGTCACCCTTCGGCTCACCTTTCTGGGACAGGAGACCGAGTCTCTCTCAACCCTGGGGAAATCTGCCGGGGTTTGCATGGTGGGGTTCAAGGCCGTGGTCAGAAGGCCCTCTTACTTTTCTTACTTCTGCTTTTTTTTTAGTCTTCTTAGTGCAGAAGGCAGGGTCCCTGGCCCCCCTCCTTCTTACTTCCCTCTTGGCAGGAGGAGGGACAGAAGATGGGTCAGGCTTCCCTGCTTAGGAGGGGACCCTGCAGACCCCAAGCCTATGAGCCAGGGACAGCTGAAGGATACACCCCTCCCTCTCTCTCCTGAGCCTCAGAAAGGAGACAGGCACACAGACAGAAGCCACAAGACGACGAGGCAGAGACAAAGCTGGTACCCACAAACATACCCCCGGAGGGACTCTGAGAGCACACGGGACAGAAATAAGCAGGGCCACGCACACTTTGATTGCCTGGCCCAGAGTTTGGATAATCCTTCCCCCATTGGGACCTTGCCAGGACTATGACCACCCAGAATGGCAACCCATAGAGCTGGTACCACTATGCCTGTTCCTGCCACTGCTCTGTGGTCCTGAAGAAGCCTGCCAGCCCAAGGCTTTGGGATAGACAAGAGGGTAAGAGATCCTGGCAAGGACCTGACAAAGGTCTAAGAGGAGGGTGACCTTGGAGGGGAGGGTAGACCAGGCCCAGCCTTGCCCCTTGTGGTCTCACCTCATCCTCACACCAGTTACACCCACAGGAACTGACAGATATACTCAGTGATGATCGGAAACCCTTTCCACAGACAGCCCTGATGTAGAAACACACGCCCCCGCGTGCATCGACTTCCCCTTCCCTGCCCTCGCAGGGCACTGATAACACAGCCTACAGGGTTGTGAAAGACACCCCGCTCAGACCAAGGCCTCTTGTTGCTTCCTCAGACTCCCTGACCGCCCAAAGTCCTCTGGTCCAGTGCCAGGGCTGGATCACTCTCCAAACTCTTAGTCCCCCAAAGCAGGGAAAGAACCTCCATGGCCATCAGGGTAGCAGAAGGAAAGTCTCAGAATTTCCTTTGTTGAAGGCTGTGTGGGCCTGAGGCCTCTGGTGGTAGAGGAGGGTAGACACCCTTCAGCCCACATTCCTGGGTGCCTGTCCCGTCCCCCCTCACAGATACTTCCTCTTTACAAACTCACTTCCTCCCACACAGGAGCTGGGAGAGAAGCCCACAGCCCACAGCCTGATCCCTTGCCCCAAAGGTCCCTACTCTAGGCCTCCCTCTGCCAGCTGTAGTCAAGCCCACCTGCAGGCCCCTGGCCCTAAGGAACACTGACAGCCCCTCCCCCAGCTGGCAGCATCTGCCAGCCTGTGGGCACTGGGGCTAGGAGCCCATTCTCAGCTCCAAAGGAGGTATTGTTATCCCATTTCAGAGATGACAAAAAGAGACTGAGTGAGAAAATGACTTGCCCAAGGCCACATGGCTAGAGGAGAGCTAAGATCAAAACCAAAGTCTGAGACTGTTCCAAAACCTAAGTGCTTAAGCCTTTCACCACTGCCTTCTCTGCATGGCCTCCCTGCAAACATCAGACACTAGCACTGGGCCTTCTCTTCGGACATCACTGACGGCACCCCCATCCTGCCTGGTTCTGTCCAGGCAAGAGCCAGACACTAGGAAGCACAGGTGTTACGGCAGACCCAGGCCTTGCCTTCAATCAGATCTAAAAGAAATACCTGTCCCAGCTATCTGGGAGGCTAAGTCAGGAGGATCACAAGTTCAATCCCAGTCTAGGTAATTCTATTTCTTTCTTTTTTTTTTTTTTTTACCGGTACCAGGGATCGAACTCAGGACCACGCGCTTGCAAGGCAGGCACTTATGCCGCTGAGCTAAATCTCCAGCCCCTCAGTCTCTTTTTGTCATCTCTGAAATGGGATAAGGATACCTCCTTTGGAGCAGAGAATGGGCTCCTAGCCCCAGTGCCCACAGGCTGGCACTATTTCAAAGTAAAATTTAAAAGAGCTGCAGATGTAATTCAGTGGTAGCACACCCATGGGTTTGGTTCTCAGTAATGAAAAAGGAATGAATGAATGAATGAGAGAAAGACCCAATAATAAAACACAACCTTCCTGTGACAAAGTGCTGTGGTTGCCCTAGAAATGGGCACAAGCCATGATTGAGGGAGGTATAACAGCACCTCTGAAGAGAGGACAGTCTAGATGGGTCCCCAAGATGGCATTGGCCAGACAGAAAGGGGGAAAAAGTCAGACAGAGAAAGGCCCAGGTAGAGAAGGTCTAGGGAGCGTGAGTGAGGGGCTACAGGTCTAAGTGTAGGCTGGGAAGCTAAAGGTGTGTAAAGGTTCAAACTACATGCTCCACCCTCAGAAGGCTGTTTCTCCAAATAAAACAGGCCATGGAGACAAAGAGACATTGTAAACAACACTTCTCTCTGTTTAGTTACACAGTCTTTCTGCCACGGGGTCTCCGCTGGGCAGCTGAAGGGACAGAGCCAGGCGTGGGTCCCAGGAGTGGACAGGTGGGCTGGCCAGCCTGAGGGAAATTCCTCCCCACACCTGAGGCTGCCCGAGGCTCCCTGAAGTCCACAGTCACATCCTGCCTCAGCTCTGGCCAGGGGAGCATGAGGAATCCGGGAGAGATCAGTATTTCATAAACAGGAAGAGAGGAGGGGAGTGGGGAAACGCTCGGCTCTCAAAATAGACCGGCAGGCGCTTCAAAGGGGTCCAGCTCCGGAGATAGCCAGAGGAAGGGGCCTGGGGTGCCCGCCTGCTCCTAGGAAGGGAGGAAGAGAGTAGAGCCCTAGGGTGTCTGAAGCTATCAGGTGTGCCCTGTGCTGAAGAGACCCAGGGAGCTCTCACCCTGCACTGGCTATGCACACTATCGCTCCTGAACCCAAATTCCCTTCTGCCTGAAATGGGTAAAGTAAGAAGTATTACACACCGGCACATAACACGGGGCCACAAACCCTTTTGGATACTTTAATTTATACATACCACATTCTCTCTTCCAAGTGCCCCGAGAGAGAGAGGCTCTATCCTGCTTGTCCCCTTCCCTTTCCTTCCCTAAACCTAACCTTATACCCTGCTCTTCCTTTCTCCCCTCTCTCTCTCTCTTTTGGTACTGGAGATTCAGCCTAGCCTTCTCACTGAGCTCCATCCTTAGTACTGTTTAAATTCCGACACAGGGTCTCACCAAGCTGTTAGTTTGCGCAGGCTGGGCTTGGACTTGCAATCCTCCTATCTCAGCCTCCCAGAGTGTACCACCATGCCCCACTTCTATTCTGCTTTTTTAATTTTTTAATTTTTATTTTTTGCACCAGGGATGGAACTCATGACCTTGTGCTTGCTAGCCAGGCAGGCACTTGTGTCACAGTAAATCCCTGGCCTTTTTTTTTGTTGTTTTCTTTTCTTTTTTTCTATTCTGCTTTAGGGAGCAAGCTTTAGGAACAAATGAGACAAGGGACAGGATTCTGAGTTCAGAACGTCTGGCTCCCAAGACCCTATCCCTGCTCTTCTCCATGTGGAAAGACCACCTCTTTCTTCCGCTGCCCAATTCCTGCCACGGGAAGGCCGGCCAAATGCTGGCTCTGCAGGGAAGGTGGCCAGGTGCCTCAGAGTTCACCCAACTCTTCTTCCTCTGCCACATATCTAGGGACATCTGTCTCACCCATGGCTATGTCCCAAGCTCAGATGCCACCAGCTGGGGCTGGGATGTGTTCCTCTCATGCCACCAAGAGAAATGGGGGCACCTGGAAAGTGGTACTCTCTGCCCAGCAAGAAGTCTGGCACCGAACAAAGATTCTATGTGCCCACGGCTGTGTTCTTTCCTATCCTCGGGCTTACCCCACAGCATGAGGTTCCTCCCTCTCTCCAGGTCCGGAAGCTCCCTGAAGGCAAGGAGATGCTGACTTTGCTTTAGGTCCCCCAGTGCCACAACACAATGTACCCAGAGTTCCAAGAGGCAGAAAATAGCCCACTGCCAGCTTGGTCTATCACACAGGGTGACCACAGATTAGGCGCCCCCTGGTGTATGAAACCCAGAAGTAGGCAGGCACTAGTGATACTGGCTTGAGTAACAGAGAAGGTGCCCAGATTTTTGGCACCCAGAACACAGATACACAGTGCTTCTCCTCTTTAGCGCTCTGGATTCCCTAACCTGAGAGAAATGTGGACTTTGTGGCCAAGCAAGACTTAACTCTAAGGGGCTGGGTATTTAGCTCAGCGGCATAAGTGCCTGCCTTGCAAGCAGGCAGTCGTGAGTTCGATCCCTGGTACCGATAAAAAGGAAAAAGCCAAAAAATAAAAAGACTTAACTCTATCACCACCAGCTTTGAGCCACTGGGTCCTAGTTTCCTGATCTGTAAAATGTTGTTAGTAACAACCTAGCTTTAGGAACAAATGAGACAAGGGACAGTATTCTGAGTTTAGAACGTCTGGCTCCCAAGACCCTATCTCTGCTCTTCTCCATGTGGAAAGACCACCTCTTTCTTCCGCTGCCCAATTCCTGCCACGGGAAGGCCGGCCAAATGCTGGCTCCAAGGGTACATTGGGAACTAAATGGAAAGCTGCTGTGGCACTGGGCAGCAGTTAAACTCGGGCTCCTCACCCGGGATCTTGTGCTCCAGGACAGGAGTCAGGCTGGCAAGCCAAGGAAGTCACCTGGCTGAGAAAGGTCCTGCCCTCTCTCACTCAGCTCCCTACACTCAAGATGTAAAACTGCATTCACCACCAACTCCCCCCAAAACCACACGTTCCTCTGCAACCCTAGGACCTCTGCCCCAAGATCTGAACATCTGGCCCTCCACTGGGACCCAAAAATCCCTTCATTTTATTATAATCAACTAGAAGAACCTATTTAATAGGAGGAGTCTCCAGCCAGGGTAGAGATAAAACAAGAGTCCAGGCCATGCTGCTTATTGGCCTCTGATGGCTATGTTGCCACAGCAACCAA